AAATAAACGAAGCAATATTGTATGATTGCAATATGTCCACAAATTATGCACAAATATGTCTCACAAAAGATTCTTCACCTTTTTAACTTTTAGATCTTTAAAAAATATATAAAGGTATAGTAGAACCGTTAAGACTAGTTTGTTGTTGTTGTTCATTTGTAAGTGTGAAGGCAGGGAAACAGCTCAGACTCTTTTCATTACAAATTTGACAAACCAGACTGCATATTTAACCAAAAATTATAGTAAAAATACAGAACTGTTAATACATATTTTCTCAAATGGCCCAAACAAACAAACCCAAACATGAGTTCAAATTACAGCCATGATTAAGGATTCTATTTAACTACTGAAAACTAGCCTTGGATTGGAGAAACAATTATTAGTTGAGAAGCTTAATTGCAGTGGGAATTTTTTTACCTCCAGTCTCCCATGATACTCTTCTTGCTGTTTTTATACAGTAGTTTTAGTATCAACAATAGCAATCCACTAATACTACTATAGTATCAATACCATGAAGTGACATACTGTACATACGTACTTATGTGTTTGTCTCTGGTTTGTGAAAATTAAGGGTTTAATCGCTTGGATAAGAATCTAAAATATAGATAGATATGCAGTTACATAGCATTTTGTTTCACTTGTATACAATTAACAAAAAACAAGCAGGTCAAAATATTTCTGCCCCATAATTAAACCTAGAAAAGTGTTTTAGGGCATAGAGATAAAACGTTACCAAGATGCAATGAAGTTTGCAACATATGCAGAATGGACACTCTGTATGAAGACAGCCTTAAAATGATGAGTGCCCAGCCACACAGACAGACACGCATGCACATTCATATATACACAGAAACTCAATACTTTGACAATACTTCCATACACTGATTTCATTCCATTTCAGCAGTTCTTGTTTACTATGCTTCTGCAATCGTATACAAGAATCGTATAAAGAACTTTGCTCCACCTGGGGCCTCCTCTGTCTGTCCCACTTTGTGTGCAAGTTTCTTATAAAACTGTTCCTATCAATATTTCTTGAAAGGACAATGTACTACAGAAGTGAGTCCTATTAAATGAATATAAGGACATTACATGTATACTAATACCAAGTAGTGCTTTCATGTGCAGACTGAATGATTATTCAAAACCTTTATCAAACAATGAAAATGTCCTAATGTTAATTACTGGTGGATGTTAAAAAAGAGAGGGCACAAACAACATACTAAATCAGTTAACCTATATCACATATTATTGTACACGCAAAATATATGCAGACAAATGCATGTCCATCCTTACTCATCCCTCTTACAAATGAATAGCCAACGCATCAACAGTCTCAATTACTGAATGTGCATTATGTATTATGAGATGTTTCAGACAGTCTGTCTCACTGCCCCACCCTTAATTTCCTTGAGCCAAAGTGATGTCATGTCCAGAGAAGCACCCAGGGCTTCACTGCAACAATTCTAGTTGTTTCTGAGGCCTCCACCCTCTTCCCTCACAACATCAGCGCACAGCAGCAACTAAGAACCCCACAGGTTGCCTTACATATGGCAAACATTTCATGCATTAAAAGGCCATTTTACAAGTTATCACTTTCTACGATGAAGTGTTGATTTTCAAACAAACCTAGGCAAAGTTATATCAAGTAATTATCGAAGGAGCTAAAATTATGGCAAAATGTTTTTGCAATGTGATATTCTGCTTCTACCCACCTGCAATTGTTATTACCATCATAAGAGCTGCACTAGATTACAACTTCTGCTGATTACCATGATCAGCAAAATATGCTTCTAACAAGTTGCTTTTAATTCTAATCAGGATAACAGGCCTCTGTATTATTATGCACAAATTTTAATTCTACTCTGGAGCTTCAAGTTCTGTTTGGTGAGCTTTTGAAGGTCACAATTAAATCTCAAATCTTTTATATGCTCATCTAGGAATAAATTCCTTTCAGCTCAGTGGGCCTGACTTTTCAGCAAATATGCACAAGACTGCTCCAAAACATTACAAAGAATTTAAAGAGATGTTAATAAACAGGGGGTTGTATGGCTAGCAGTCAGTAATAGTTGAGACTTTCAAAGTAAAGTATAAGGTAACAACTTGTATTTTTAACCATAAAAATTATCCATTAATATAACAGAAGAATAAATAAGGAAACTAACATTAAACCTTCCACTTGCTTGCTCAGAGAGAAGTCACACATCATTCATACCCAACTCACTTCTAAACAAATCTTTTTGTAAAATTGTGTAAAGCAGGCTGCATCATCCATCATACTTGTATTATTTCTGCACTCCTTTTTAAACTGTACAGTATTATGAAAAACTGAATATAACATTCTTCAAGCAATCAAGTTATGAAAAGGACAGCAAGCATTTAAAGTTTAAAAAAACATTGAGAAACGCAAACCCCTTCCACTCAGCAAAATTTCTAAACTATAGATTTTTTCAGACACAAGTTCTTCTGCAACTATGTTGCCAGAATATGGTATAGAACTATTTTTTTAAAAAAAAATTCTTAGGTTTTACAACAGAACCCTATCCTCTCAAAACCTAAAAAAAAGTTTTCCTTTTTGCAAGAGCTTCATCACTAGTTGTTCCGTTTACACTGTCATACAAGAGACAAAATAAACACTTCGTGTATCTTAATCACGCTAGGCAGAATCACTGAAGTTAATTGCCTTTGCGGTCAAATAAACTCTTATCAACCAACCCACTGAGTCATTCTTTAAAATTAGCACGCAAAAAACAAGAAAGTGCCACTTCTAACAGACTGCGCGATTTAAAGCCAGTCCTCCCTGCACCGTTTCCCGGCTTCCACGCTGGCCCGACTCTCCTCGGCCTCCCTCCGTTTTCCACCGCACCCCATCCTATAGGTCTGATTAATACCAGCTGTTTCCCTCGATCTCCCTGTTGAAGCCCACAGGAGTGTCTCTTCTCTCCCAACTTTCGACTTCACTCCGCTGCTGCTGCTGAGAGGCACGAAGACATAGGGGACCTTGAAATAGGAAATGCAAAGGGAGAGGGGAGGGGGGGGGAAAGGAGGAGACAGCGCTTCCACTGCAGAGGTCCAGATCTACAATTTACTATATAACCACACCCACCGCATTGCAGAAGCCACGAGCTGGAGCGAGGCAAAGTCGGGAGGGAGAGGAGAGGGAAGGAACAGGCAAGAACCCACGGAGGAGGAGGAGGAGAGGGAGGGGGGGAGACTGGGCGAGAGACCAAAGCCAGAGGCTGGGAACGAAGAGCCCCACGCCAAGAATCTGCAGCAAAAAGGGAGCAGCCACGCAGGTGAGCAGGGAAATTCGGTGCCCCTTGCTGGCCCCCACGAAAGGGCTGCAGGAAACCAGAGTTGCAAACGGGATGGGGGATGAAGGCATTCGCTCCCCCTCCCTCAGACCTCAGCCTCTAGCCGCAGGTGTCACCGCTGTCTCCTCGCAGAAGTTTAAAGAAGTTTCCGCTTCTTTGCAATAAAATAAAAACTTCCCCCCGCGCACGCTCGTTCCCCTCATTGCACCCCCTCCCCACCAAAGAAAACAGTGCCGTCACCAAGGCAGGTCAGCCCCGAACAGCTACAACCACGGAAGAAAAGCGAAAGGCCCGTCGTGTCCGCAGAACTGAGCCGGGAGGCCGAGGCAGGCAGGCGCCAGCTGCCCTTGGACGGGTTCCGGGGGGGGGGGGGGAGCGGCGAGGGCAGGACGGAAAGTCAGGAGGGGGCCACGGGTTAGCCGCGCGATCCCTCCAGCCACCCACTCGCTCGGGATGGAAAGTGCAAAACTAGGAGGCAGCGGAGAGGCCAAGGAGAAAGGGAAGGCGGGATGGGGGGGGGCGCAGGGCGGTGGCGCTCTCCTCGCGAAATACCGGCACGTGGCGGCAAAGAGTCAGGAGAAGGCTGGCCCATTTCTTGGGGATACCTGGGCCGCAGTTTCCCCTGGGTGACCCGTTCTCCAGATGCGCTGGGGAGGCGAGCTGAGGCCGAATCCCGTTCCGGGAGCCCCCGCGCTTCGCCGGTCTGGCCGCCTCCCTCTCCCCGCCAACTTTGACTAGAGACGGACTTGGTGAGAGTTTCCCCGCCTTCCTCGCCGCAGCCGCCCCTCCGTGATCCAATGTG